AAAGAAAAAAAAAAAAAAAAAAAAGGGAATTTGTATGGCCCAGAATTACTGATTTATTGCAAAGCAGTAAGCAGCCATAAGAAACTTCTATTGAAGTTGAGAAAGAACAAAAGCCATGAGACTTATTAAATATAGGAAGGAAATTTACATATACTGTAATATTTCTTAAGCACTGCCTGATAGTGACTGGATGCACAATTTAAGAGAAAAATGGCTATTGGACGACTGCAGCCAAAAACTGAAGAATGCCCTGTGCCATTAATCCCAGCCCTGGAGAGGCAGAAGCAGGTGGATGTCTGTGAGATGGAGGCCAGCCTAGACCACATAGCTCCTTCTAGGAGGGCTGGGACTAGGGAGACCCCTTCAGAAAAAAAAAAAAATGCAGATGAGCCCAGGTTTTTGTTCCCAAGCAGCAAGAGGTGAAGTATGCTTGAGTCCTGCTTCCTTGAAGACCTCCTCACGCCATTTTGGAAAACTAATTTAATTTGGACTTCGTCATCTCTTTCATTTTTTTACACAAGTAGAGATTTACAACAAACAGAAAAGATACATATCCCAGGCAAAGAGGACGATCTTGCCTACAGATTCTGCTGACACTTTTTGTAGCTAATGCCTCGAATTCTGAGAGAATACATTTCTATTGTTTTATACTACTGTGTGGCAATTTGTTAGGAAACAAATTCACAATCTTACCCAGCGCTGAAGTGGAGCTACTAGTACTATATAATTTGTATCTTTACCATGAGAAATTAGTTAATATGTTAATCGAGCACACAGGGGAGCGCCCATACTCAGTAAGCACTAGAGAAAGGAAGTTAACTTTACAAACTAAAAAGAACTCTCTCATCAGTGCAGCTGGTTGTTGCTTGTTTTGCTTTTCTGGATCGTAATAGGTGGACTGGACCCTGTGGAAACCCCTCGTAACTTTATGGAATTAAAAAATAATCAAGAGTATGGTGAAAAGTTCAAGAACGGACTATTCATCTATGACGTTCTTTGGTACTTGTGAATTCTGGGAAGGGAACCCTGTAATTCTTAACGCACTTGTCTCTTTCATTCTCTATTAGTTGTGTCTATACAGTCCTTAGTCCCTAAACCTAACTTAGAACGGAGTGCAGGAGGCAGAGGCCTCTCAAGAGAAACCACTTTTGTTGCCTGTATTTTGAGCCTAAAATCACGCGAGGCTGTCAGAGCCCCAAATTCCCACGCTTCCTTTGCAGAAAACTACGACTCCCAGAAGCCCTTGGGTCGGGGTGGAGGGCGGCCTTGGAGAGGGGCGGAGTCCAGAAGGTCGTTGGTCTACTCCCTTGTCCGGAGCGGGGCGGATCCACGTTCTGATTGGCTGAACTAGAGTGCCGTCCCCCGCGGGGTTGATACTGTCCTCGGGGGCGGGGACGACGCGGCCGCCGTACGAATTTCCCGGGCCGAGAGCGCGGGGCATGCCGGGAAGTGATCGGGTCGGTTACCCACCCAGCCAGCGGTGGTCCAGAGCGGCTACCAGCATGCAGAGCACGGACTTGGGCAACAAAGAGAGCGGCAAGATATGGCACCGCAAGCCGTCGCCGGCCACCCGGGACGGGTAAAGGCTGTGGAGAGCGGGGCGGGTCTGGGGGAATGTGAGCGGCCTGCGCAAGGGCCGGCCGGTGTAGTCGCTTTCGGTTCCGGCTCTTCCCGGCCCTGCATCCGTAGGTTGGGACCGCCGGAGGAGTAGGTAGCTCCGGAAGCCACTGTCCGCAGAGACGCTCCAGGCTCTGCACCTGCGTCCCGGCAGTGGGAGACAGGACGCTTTCTGCAAGAGAATTTGCGGTTCTGCTGAGTGCCGGGACTCTGCCTGCTTTGATTTATTTCTTACTGTTGCAGCTGGCAAGTGACTGTAGGAGGTGATGCGAGCAAAGAGAAAGTGCACATCTCCTCTCTCCAAACCTGAACTTTCTTCATCTTTAAATCATTGCTTGTGCCGGGATAGGCACAGGTGCAGTCAACTGTTTGATGAGCGCCTGCTGTGCGCCAAGTACGCTTCTAAGCTCTGGGAGACAATGGAGCAGACTAACGGTCTGCATAGTTTACATGTAAGAGTATATGTTATGGGACGCGGGTCCCGTCTATGATGCGGGGGCTTTTAACACCGCCAGCGCTGCTTTTCATTCTGTTTCTTGTAGTCTGTCCTGTTTGAGGTGCAGCCTCTCCTGTGTGACGTCAGTAGGAGCATTTGCCCCAGTGGTGCATTTGTTTGGGTTCCCATGCAGCACGTCAGAGTGATCTTGGTCCCTAGACTTGCGTGGACTTCACTGTGTCGCTTGGGTTCCGGTCTCGGTGTTTGTTTCCCTAGAGACTTTTCTGTTGATTTTTTGGTTGCTTCTCTATAAATCAACAAATTTTAAGTGTCGTCTTTTTATGCCCAAAGCACAGTGATAAGCGTTAGGTTAGCTACTTTGTTTGGTTTCTGCTGGCTGCCTTTATCAATGCGACCGACTCACCAACCCATTGAATAAAAATTTCTGTCCAAAGTGGAGGTTCTTCAGCGTTTTCAATTCTGAATTTGGAGTTTTTGTAAGTACCACTCTCCCTTTAGTATCCTCTAAAAGTGCTAAAAATTATAGCCAACTTAGCATAATTTCTTGCTGTTACAGAGTATTGAGATAGGCATGTAAATTTTTTAAAAAATGAAGAAACAGGTTCCTTGTTCCAATGTCCTTATTAGGCCAGAGATGGTGGAACACGCCTTTAATCCCAGCATTTAGGCAGAGTCAGGCAGATCTCTGTAAGATCAAGATTAAGGCCTGCTTGTCTACATAGTGAGTTTCAGGTCAGCTGGGGCTAAAGGAAACCCCATCAAACATACGTGCACACACACACACACACCCTAAAACAAGATGTCCTTAGGAGCTTCTTCCACAAAAACACAGCTTTCTTTTTGTTCATTGAATCCCATTGTTGGGTCAGGGGGATAGCCTGGCAGCCTTTAAAGGTGCTTGGGTTGCAAGTCCGGCAACCTGAGTTCAATCCCCAGAGCCCATGTGTTCCATTTTCCTTTTTTTTTTCCCTGTGATAAAACACTCTGACCAAAAGCAACTTAGGAGATGAAATGATTTGGTTTACATTTCCAGGTCCCAGTTTATCCTTGAAGGAGGTCAGGGCAGATACCATGGATGGGCACTGCTTGCTGTATGCTCAGCCAGCTTGCTTATACAGCCCAAGACCACCTGCCCTGGGAATGGTGCCATCCACAGCAGGTTGGACACTTCTACATCAATTAGCAGTCAAGATAATCCCCTACAGACATGCCCATGGGCCAGTCTGATCTAGGAAATTCCTCAATCTAGGCTTTCTTCTCAGATGATTCTAGGCCGTGTCAGGTTGATAATTAAAGCCAACTAGGACACCATGCAAAGGTGGATGGAGAGAACCAACTCCACAAAGTTGTTCTCTGACTTCTGCATAGCTGTCCATGGCACAGATGTGCACAAATAATAAATTAATTTCAAAACTTAAAATTTGTTATGTGTTGAGAGGAAAGATGAATCAGGGTTTAGTTTCAGTAAGGGCAAGTTATCAGCTCAAACCTTGGGCAGGTGATCACTAAGCAGGGAGAGTCACACTTAGTAGACACATTTTGTTGCTCTGAGTACTACTGTCCAGGTACCTAACTGAATTTCTACCCTGCCATAATCTTGCTTTTGTTGGTTGGTTTTTTAAAATTTTTGTTTGTTAAATTTATTATTGTGTGTGCATGCATCTCGTCATGTGTACATGTGGAAGTCAGAGGACAACTTGCATGAGTTGGTTCTCTTTCTACTATGTGAGTCCCAGAGATTGAACTCAGGCAATGAGGCTCAACAGCAAACATTTTTACTCCCAGCAGTACTGGGGATTCAACCCAGGGCCTTGTACCTATGACGCAAGTGCTCTGCCAATGAGCTATGGTTTCAGCCCTTGGAGAAAATGTTTAATCCACTTATTAATTTAGCATGCTTTAGTAAGATTTTGAAAAATGAGGAAGATAGATAATTCTAATATTAAATTTCAAAAATTCAGACACAAAATTGACATTTTCATGGTTGAATGCTGTTGTTGAAATAAAGAACGGAGGGCTGGCGGGATGGCTCTGCAGGTAGGGTGCTTGTGATCAAGCCTGACAAATTGAGTTCAATACCCAGGACCTATGTGGTAAACTGAGAGCACTGGCTCCCATAAGTTGTCCTTTGACCTCCAAATGCCATGCCATGAGCCCACATACATTTAAATGTAATGTTAAAAAAGAATTGTTTAAGTTTGAATCTGTAGGACCCTCCTTAATCACTTTAATTTCCTTACCAAAGGGATCCTCTCTAGCACATGCTGTCTCTCCAACATTTGTCTTCTTAGTGCTCTTTTTCAATCCGAACTAGTTCTTTCTGCCCCATTTGCTCATTTTCACTGTAGAGCTGCATAATAGTCACCATTAATAGCCATGCCACCATTTCTATATTAGGCTGCCTTGAAATTTCTTCTGCCAGAGAAATTAATCCATTGCTTTTCAACTTAGCCTCAGGCAAGCTTTTTGGTCAAGGGTGGACTCCAGCCAGACTCTTTGCCAAAATATCCCAAGTGCTGCTTAAGTCCTTATTTCCCTGTGGAACTACATTGTCCTTAGCACTGCTTTCTTCCAGGAGTCTACTAGAATGGCCTGTTAAGCTCTGCTTACAGCAATCAACCACTTTTCTAGCCCAACCTTCCAAAGTCTTCCACATTTCTTCAAAACCCGACATGGTCAGGTTCTTCACAGCCAACAGCCCACTCCTGGTACCAATTATTGTTATTAGTCACTTTTCTGTTGCTGTGATAGAAACACCAAAATAACTTACAGAAGGAAGAGTTTATTTGAGCTTAAAATTCCAGGGGAATTACAGTCCGTCATGGGGGGGAGGCATGGTGTGGCAGAGGTGGCTGGAAGAAGAGCAATGGAAGCTAAGCTCTCACATCATCAAGCAGGCACAGGAAACAAGAGAGCAACTGGAGATCCAGCAAGGCTTAAGAACTCTCTAAGCCCGCCCCCAGTGATGTGCTTCCTCCAGGATAGCCACACCTTCTAAGACCTCCCAAAACAACGCCACCACTGGGGACAAAATGTCCAAATACTTGGAGCCTATCGGGGTCATTTTCATCCAAACCACCACAGCATTGTACTAGTCTTTAAGACAAGAGTGTGCAAGCTTTTTCTCTTCCCCTTTGTTTTTGAGATAGGCTCTTAATATGTAGACCAAGCTGGCTTCAAACTAGTCCTCCTGCCTCCACCTCCTGAGTTGTGGGATTATAGGTGTGTGCATTATGCCCAACTCTATGTTGAGGGGTTATTTTGTGCTGCAAGGTTGCTTCTTCTTTTTCTAATTTTTTACATTTATTTAGTATGTGTTGTGTGTATGTGTGCTATGGCATATATGTGGAGGTTAGAGGACAATTTGGGGATAAGTGCCTTTACTGACATTTGTCACAGCCTAGTGCTACAAGTTTTATAAACTTTGGGGTCGGGGAGGACAGGGTCTCATTGTGTAGCGCTCACTAGCCTAGAACTTACTTGCCAGGCTGACCTCAGACTCAGAGAGGTCCACCTGCCTCTGCCTCCTGAGTGCTGGGATTAAGGGTGTGTGCCTGTACACCCAGCAAGTTTTATCAACATTTTTTAAACAGATGTATGGCACGGGATCCTCCTCAAAAAATAGTAACTTCTTAAGAAAGTTTGCCCATGAAAGTAGTATGTGATTATTGACAAGTACATATAAAATGCAGGAAAGTAGAAAAGGATGATCATCTACATTCCTATTGTCAGCAAACAACGAGTATTTATGTTCTTATCTTTTTTCTGTATGTATATGCTTTTAGTTGGTGTGTTTGTATATGTGTATGAGCTGTTTAAACCAAAGGTTAGAATACTTTAATTTTCATGTGGCTCAATGTATGACATATGTTTCTATAGGATAATATTGAAAAATAAACTTCCTTTCTTAACTTTTTGAGTAGAGGTGTGTTTTGTAGGATTTTAAAATAACAGGCATTCCACATAGTTTGAGCGCCTACCATATATTGTAGGTCAGGTGCTGGGATACAGTCATGCACAAACAGTCCTCACAGAGCACACCTGCCAGAGTATTATGGTACATCTATTAGAAATTAAACTACAGGGCTGGAGAGATGGCTCAGTGCTTAAGAGCACTGGCTGTTCTTGCAGAAGACGGAGGTTCAATTCCCAGCACCCACATGGTGGCTAACAACCATCTGTAACTCCAGTTCCAGGGGATCCGATGCCCTCTTCTCTCCTCCTCGGGCACTGCATGCATGGCACAGGTGCACTTGCATACATGCAGGCATAATACTCATACACATAAAATTT